TGGTCTCCACTAGGTTATTTTTGTATTTATTAATATAGTTATAATACTAGTATCGTACTTGTTTTTAATAATTCCCTCTACGTTACGCTTACTGCCAAACTGATCGTTTCCAATGACAAATGGCAGTGAATTTTTTATTTCAAATCATGATTTCGAGTCATTCGGCACTACCGCAATAGAGCAGCGACTATACACGATAGTATAGCAGGCCCTCACCATCCCACTCTTATTGACAAGTACAAGTCACTCATTGTCTGTCTTGAGAATAAGAGCAAAAGCCATGTGGTTAACAAAACAAGTCAGTAAATCAAACAGATCCACCCAGCAACCCGTTTGGCAGAGGAAAAAAGAAAGTTTCAAAGATGAGACGCTCATAAATACTGCACTTGAAGATCATGTTCTGATAATTAGAGACAGTTGTTCACGAAATGATTGTGAGGGTGGGTAATCAGCAGACGTCATCGTTTTCTTCATAGATTCTTGTTCAGTGCAAATACAATGGTCAACAAAAAGTTCGTAGACCTCCCATGTCAGCTCTACGTATTGTAAGCGTCGCAGTAGTCAGGTGATTGTAAACGACGTAGTGACCTTTTGAATTTCCTCGAAACAACAATTACAATTCTACATCGATGTTTGATTGACGAACTGGTACAACGCTGTTTCTTGAGGGTTCCGAGGCTGCTCTCACTCTACATAATATCACACATGGCCCTGTAAGAACTCAGAAATTGTGTCGATGTAGGTAGAGAAACCTTGAAATGGGCCCCCGCTAGATGCATGGCGCATTGCAGCCCCACTGAGCCCTTAGTTGTTGGGTATGGGTAGCCTTCTTAACATTCGGAACTGTCTACTAGCATTCCAAAACGTAGATCATCTAAATGAGAAAAAGCCAATGTTTAAAGAAATAGCTAGCCTACGAAGAGGAGCCCTTCAATCTCCTCAACTCTCACGGCTAATGAATCCCTAATGCTAGTCAGACCATTTGCGTATTTCGTTGAAAACTTCGAAAACCAGAAATGGAAGACGGAAGGGATACTCTTTGAAGCTGACGTCTGATATGCTATGCTAAAAATGCTAATATGAACGGCACTGGCACATCCTGTTTTTGTTTGCTCCTCAAGAGCCGATTACGACGTCAGCAGTTTTGAATCCGATGGAACTGTGGATTTCATGGAATGAGTTGCTGTTTTGAGTCAGCAACGTCAGTATTATTTGTATGGAAAGTGGATAGAAGTGACTGATTCTGAGTGAACATTGAGTTCGGGTTAGAGGCACAGTTCCGATGAAAATGCTTTCAATGATTTCTTACAGGAAGGAATCTATAGCTCCTTAGGATGTTATGTTGGGACATTATCAGAGAGAAAATCGAACTATACAGGACTGATTAAGGACCAAAACAAAAGGTCCAAGCGTTTACTATCGCTGGAACTCCTGAAAAAAGACGAGTTTAACGGGAATATAGGGGCTGATAGCGTTCAAAATAGAGCGAGTTTGTTGCAAATGTATCAGTTGGTGCTCGCCAAGGAAATCCAACATATTGTCCTTTCAGGGGCATTTATTAGCAGTCGGACCTAACTGGGAGGATTGAGTTTTGACTTGAACAGCAACTAAACCCCTAACACCATAATATAGACAATGTACGCGATGAGTACAATCCATTTTAAATGGATGTCGCATGCGTGGTTGCCTCCCACACTCGGACTCATTAGCCTGAACAACTTTTTGTCCCACCCCTTTTTTGGGGACTTTGGGCTCTCTTTGTTGCGTTTCGAGATAATTATGGTACGAAATGAATAGGTTCAAGTTCAATACGTAAATGATCTTCAGTGGTTAATTCAAGCATGAAATGAACTCACAATTATAGCCCATGCTTTACAGGCTCAAATGTTTTTGTAGTATGTGAGACTGATTCTTATTTCTTGTTGAATCGAATTTCATGCTAGAATTCTTTCAAAGAATCTTTTCTCTTGATTGATTCATGTATAATATAATCTGGAAATGTAAGTGGCTTCAGTGGGTTCTAAAAAATCCTGATGCGGAGGGCTGAGCAGATTATCTGCCGGTTGCCCCGACAACCTCCCGCTATCCAAGGATGCCAACTAAGCGGCAGACGATTTCGGCTATCATCACCCAACACTTAACGGCGCTGCCATTTCGTTACTTCCCCTCACTCAACTTCTGGATACCCAGGAGGCACCCGGTGCTTTGGCACGACTTTCAGCCTTTAAGACGGCTATTGAGTCGTCTGTGGGCATCCCTCTTGCGAACGGCCTTTACCTGGGGCTCACTCATCGCTCTTTCCCGCAGTCATCGAAGACGTTTTGAGGCTGTTTCTAAGTGCATGCACGTACGTCAGAGGTGCTAATGCGTTCGATATCGAAGAGGAATCGTGTCACCAGCGGGTTTCTCCTGTCGGTTGTTATTTACTTCCTTCACTTATCCGCTCCGTATAGATTCCCCTTCCCATCTCCTCCGTTTCCTTGGCTATCTCTTGGCTTGCTCAGAACTCGTTGAATCCTTCCTAACCTCTTCAGGCAACATGATGCTCGTTGGTGATACCTTCGGCTTTTATCAGCTAGTGCTGAGGAAACATTCATGCAGGTACAGTACGTAGGCAGAAACTGAGGGATGAGAGAAAGAGGATGAGAGAGAGTGCAAGTTCTGGAAAATCCTTTTTTCTCGATTTCGATGGTAATGCAATTCACTTCAGGCTTCGTTATATCCTACATCAGTTGAATAGCGGTCAATTACCCTTGGAAGATCTAAAACGAAACATCGAATATGCAGCGTTGGTGCTCGAAACGGCCTATATGGATGAGACTCGGTGAGTTTTCTACTGTCAAAGATTTTTCCGAGTGATTTTCTACCTCTTACATCTGGAGTCTTTTATATCACTTACTATCCTTCGATGTACTTCTCTGGCCCTACCGTTTTTCCTCAGTTACGAAATTCATTTACATAATAAAAGTGACTTTCAAAGTTTTGAAAAATGTTCATGGAAGGTATCTCGGGGAATGATTTGGTCCAGCTCAAAAAGAAATGACCATAGAAACTCACACCTGATAGTCGGAATGTCTACTTTCGATACTGATACTGTAGACCCGGAAACCTCTCGAATATAAGGAGAAACCGATTAAAACTCACAACTACATACGTCTTACTTCCGTCCATTTGATTATCGAATTCACAACATAACGACCTTTCTCGCAAAAGTTATGAAATGGTTCCTATTTGCTATAGCCAGTATTGCGTCATTAAGACGGAAAGCTCCTAATTTTACAAGCCCAGTTATCTAACTGGAGATTGTTAATTAAGATAGTCAAGTATTTAGTTAATACTCCCTCCCATACCCTCATAACTCCTATTCTGTGACTAATATTTTAGAGTTTTCAATGAGGTAGACGGCAGTAATAATTAATCGTACACCATCATACTACCTAATTACTTGTAGAAATGATCTGCAAACTTATATGATCTGTAAAGGCTTCATAAATCCTAGGGTAGCATATAACCGAATTTCTGCGTGAGATAACTCATATAAGGCTTTTAGCTACGAATTTAGCCTACCCTAGGATACATAGCTCTTAAAGTTAGGATCACTGAAGTAGGGCCTTCAGCTCGCATCTTAGATTTTCCAGCTAGGACCTAATTCAGATATTTTTGATTGTTTATTCCTGTGTGGTTTCTTTCGATTAACCGTTTCCTTTTTGGTGTTTTTCATGAGCAGAATATTTTTACTAAAATGTCTATATATAGCTTGACTCCATAAATATGGTTGTTAAGTATTTAGTAAAATGAAATGAATTATTTTTTTGAGGGGAGTTAGCGGTAGCAATGGTTGGATTGAAATACTGCAGATTCGAGGGATACTGATGTTTAGATTCCGCACTGATGATCCTTACAAAGTCTTACCACTTCCTTCTACATTAAACTCGAACTGCTTGAAACGTATTACTTGACAAGTGAGAACTTCAGCTGTCGAACATAAAAAAGCATGCAAATGATTTAAGTTAGAAAGCTATGTTGGTAGTTCCTCAAGTTATTTGGATCCAATCATATTGCTAATCACTAATCTTACCGCGAGGTTAATAGGTTTTGTCTATGACAAGGATGATTTCCTCATCTCCACTCTTGACATATTTTTGCACTGATTTTATCTCCATGCTCTGGCCTGGGTGATGCCATCCTTTCCCGGAAATCCTGAAGTCCACTTGCGTCACGGAATTTTACATGGAATCTTTTTATAGCAAAGATGTTTATAGGCGGATATGCGATGAAGACGACGACTTGGCTGAAGTCACCCCGGAAACCGTCCCTGATGAGGCGAGCATGAACTTTTTCTAATTCTCTTCACCTCAGATGATGGAAGGGCAACCTTGGGACATGAGCACTCCTAGACATTCCAAGATATAATAATTCATAAGCTGAAGTCATTAGAGTTTAGGTTCGCGAATGGTTGGCAGCCACGTTTACCCGGCAGAATGCCGGTAAAAAACGGGAAAAGCCAAAGTTCAAATCGGTTGCAAATGCCATTCGAACTGGAATCTTCTTTGACAAGTAAGTTACCCTACTCACTTTCGGATTGGGGCGCTATCTCGGAGCTTATTTGGTCCACTAGCTTCCACTTATCGCTGTTCTTCAATGATTCCAGGCTCTTCCGTAAGCAGCAAAGCGTTCAGTGCCCGATTCCACCAGAAATCGCTGAGTTACTTAGGGTGAGTATTGTTTTGCGTAAGTTCTCGCTGAGTAGTAACATGAAGAAGCCCAATTGAAGAAGCCTTTGGAGGCTGTCAATATGAGCTCCTTCTCAGTATCGTTCTATTCCAGGAAATAAACTCATGGTCTTTCAATCCGTTCTACTTAAACGAGGTCTCCGAAGGACATGCCCTCAAATACGTTGGATTTGAGCTGTTCAATCGATACGGATTTATGGATCGATTTAAGGTATTTTTGTGTGAAATTCGGTGTGTACCTTCTCCCAAATCCAATAGGTCTTCTTTATATGCATATTTATTACACTGAAGTGATCGTATTTTGTGTAGGAAGCTGGTTTCTGAGAGTTTCGAGAAGGGGAAGAGAGTCGGTCTCTGCTCTGATATCAGGGCTGCTGAACTTCTGGCTCATCCAAGTTATCGGCTCATCTGATTTATCGAGAATTTGCCCCCTTTTTAGAATCATTTCCAATCGAGAGTATCGTCATGTTGAGCAAATAACGCTTGCTTCCAACATCCATCTGTATCACCTACCATCCCGCTGATCATCGACTTCCCTGGGTAAAGTCTCCATTCGTCCCTGTCGCGATCCAGAGTGGCCAAGTGGATAGTCCTTGTTCTAGAAACACGGGCAAAGCATTCCGTTCGTTCAGAACATTCGTAAAAAAGTTTGACCATGCGCTAGCAATCGTTCAATTCCAACAGCAACTTCGTTTGATGTCCCGAGTAATTCAATCAGTAACCGTTCTGGTCCAACAGTCATCATGGTATCGCATAACGTGTCCGGCATTATTATCATGATTAATAATCAATATTAGGCCTTATGCACGATTATTTAACCAAAATTTCTGGAGCCTACAACTGTGCCATTTCTCACTTCTGTCAAAGAGGGTAAGTGCAGATTCAAGAGAAATCTAGTGCACATTTCAGATTCCGCTTTTGCCTCTCGAGAATTATCTACATGCCCTTGAACAAGGCTACAGCAAACACAACAATCCCTACCATAACGTTGTTCATGCAGCTGACGTTACACAATCGTCACATTTCATGCTCAGCCAGACTGGACTAGCGGTAAGTTGAAACTATTTGATACCATGGCTCGGTGTATTTCGAATTTTTGCCGAATCCTGAAAAACTGCTGAGGCACTGAGAATTCCTGGGGCTTCTATTGCAGTACTGCTTCAATTCCTCGTGGAAGAAGTGTCCTTTTCATAAAACACGGAGACGCCAGCGCTAAGTCCTTCAAGTCAGGGCATAAGCATCGTCCTAACCTATGTGTATACGCCGTCTGTAGCGAAGGGACGTTTCTAGGTAGCGTATGTTAGTCCACACCAAACGTCTAATTTGAATAGAGCTACTCATCGTGATGATATCCTTTCATTGGAGCTTCTATCAAGATTTCACCACCCAAAAAGTCTGGACACGTCGAAATCCCGTAGTTTTCCTGCTGAAAGAAGCTTTGAAATAATTTCCTTGAAATTTCCATTCCCGGGTTTCCTGACGCTTGTGCTTTCGAAGCTGAGAAGATGATGGTGGGTTTGACGCCTGTAGAGCGATATGCTGGGAGTAATAAACACTCCATCACAGAAACCAGTTTTTTGCAGGGAAAACAATGCCCTTTTGTCCTACAGACTGCTGACTCCTCTGCAAAACAAAGTTGTTGAATGGAATTATCGTACATACTTGGTCATAAATATCGACCAAACAACCTCTATTGACAGAAAACGCGAAATAATCCTACCCACAATGTTTGTGTTATAGAAATCAGGGAAGGAATCGAAAAATCGAAAAAACCTTGGCCTGGATATTTTGGCCCTTTTAGTAGTTGAAGATAGGGCCCGGGACCTCCGGTCAGAAGTCTGCCATAGGGCGTACGTACACAGCGGAGAAAAAGAGAATACCTGTTCAAATATTCCTTGCCTTTTTTGGTCATTGAAAAAGACCTTTTTTGGTCAGGCCGATTATCGAGTACAGTTGTTTCATTGTAGAGCAGCCTTGGTGAGCTGGAACTGTTGGCTGTACTGTTTGGAGCTCTGATCCACGACTACGAGCACACTGGTCACACAAACAATTTCCACATTCAATCCGGGTTCGTTCAAATTTTTATTGGCTCAAACTCATGAAAACAGTGTGGTCCTGATCGCAAAACACTTAAAACAAACAATTTCAAATCAAACTTTATTTCTACTTCTACTCTTTCTTCAACTTATAGAACATAAAATTCCATATAACGGCATTGTATTTTATTAAATTACTTAGCAAATGTGTAATCCGGCTCGATATCCGCTCTCTGTTCATTTCGGGCGTTGTTTCCATAAAGGATAATGTTTTTGGCGTCAACCAATCCCGTCTG